TGATAAGTTTCATAACTCAATCTGCGAACTTGGCTAAATGTTCGCGAAGCCTCTAACAAGGCAGAGTAATAGAAACATAAAAATGGTTTGCACTAGCTTTTCGAACATTTCCTCTATTCAGGCTAGCTACAGACTGTTAATACAATACACGTGTACTAACGAATAAAACGTGATATTCATAATAGAATCGATTATAAGGCAGGCAATATGGATCCGCCATGTATCACATTCCCCAAATGACCTAAATGTCCTAAAGTTTGGAGGGAAATCTATAAATATCCCCATTTTTTAAGAATAAAACATGCAATTCAAATATTTCTCTCAAATAGCTATTTACCCTTTTGCTCCAAGTTTGAGCATCGAAACTAGTGATTTTAGGAGGAGAAAATCATAGTTAGGTGAAAAGATTTGTTGATTCAATTTTTGTCATCAACAAAGTCCAATCATGATGAAGTGTTATATCAAATAATTTAATTTATTGTTGTTTGTTAGTTGGGATGGTTTTGCAATTGAGCAATGAAATATTTGTAGACCTTAAAGCTTTTACTGTTACCGCCTGTTGTGTTACTAGATGACTGATTAGAGGTCATGAAATGTAATTAAAATGTTAGTCGATAGACAGTTATGTAGACTGTTTATCATTAAAATCTGTCTAAAATAACTTGTTTGGCCAATCAGTTCAATTATCATGCTACATAATTCGTGCTTGTTGGTCCGTTCTTGTGTTCACAGATAACTTGTACAAGGTGGTTTGCCAGTTTGATTATAAATTTGTGGTCGAAACCATGGTCTATAGAGCATGATCTTGGGCCATGTCCTTTATCGTGCTATGTCATAGCCGAACGTGATGGTATCTAGGCATGCGACAAAAGAAACTATTGACGGGAGTAAAACAAGTACTTGGTCGTGTTTAGTTTAACATACTAGGTGCATTTTTGTAGTCTCATATCAAGCACGTTTGCAATACCCTATACTATTCTTCTACCGTAGATGGTAAATTCATCGCAAAGTCTCTATACCTATCTAATCACACATTTCCTCAGTGATTCCCAAAGAATTTCAATGCTTTCCTAATTCGAAGTAACCTACTTCCACAATATGATAAGATTAGGGCTAATGTAGATTGAAGACAAAGACAGGCAACAAATCAAATCATTCCTTAGTCATTACAAAACAACCCCATCCATGTTGTAGATTTCAAGTCATTCGTCCATGTGGCGACATGTAAAGAAATGGTTCCAGCCCCTCTGCCTCGAACAACTTGGATTGGTGACACAAATGGAAAAAATACATTCACGACTACCTCAACAAACAATAGCCCATTACCACTTACGAACTTCCAAAAACTTTCAATCCCACCACCTTTAGAGATGTCCCATCCGTGTCGCCTTCACACACTCTTTTTAGAATTGCGCATGTATTATATATTTAAATTAAAAACATACTTAAATAATTAAGTTTATTTCTTCTCCAACTAGGGAATTTGACAGTGTCTCTTTGAGTATGCGTGTTTATTAATTAGTTGAAATATAAAATTTAGTTGGTATTTATTAATTAATGTCAATATAAAAATTAGTTGGTGTTAGTTAATATACGTACAACGTTGTTCCAACCCAAACCCAGAAATGGAGATGTCTCCACTTTTAGAGGGGTCTTTTCATATTATCCACTGGAAAGAGAGCTTTTTTTGGTCAAGAATGAGGTGATAAAGGTTGAGAATACATAAAGTAAGAAACATTTTGAAGACTGTGGGTTGAATTTGCTTATATTTTTAGTCATTCCTTGATCTCCATTATTTTCAAAATACATTTTTCTGACTCTTTTTTTCAACTACACATTCTTCACTAAAAAAATAATGTTACACGCAAACTCAAAACTTTTTCTATTTTTTAACCACACATTTTTCATCAAATCACCATTCCAAAATGCATTTTGGCAAAAGATGAGGCTTCCTAGATGAGCTTTAAGAAGGTCGGATGACGTCCCTTGTGTAAAACAATTATTGAGGGGGAAGTGAAATCTTATGTTGTAAAAATCAAGTGCTTATGCAAAAATTTTATAACAAACTATTAGCCTCTAGCCAAAGCCACAAGGCTCAATTACAAAGAAATTCTCACTTTCTCTTTAAAATAAAACAACAAAACAGTATGTGTTATTCAATTTAATCCTATCATTTGGTGATAAACATGTATTTGTTTGATTGTAGTTTATTACTTCTTACCAATTTTCAGAAGAATATTGTATAATAACACTTGGTGGAGTATAAATTTATCATTAATTCACCAAAAGAATATTCTATTATATATCAATATTCCATAAGACTGTTTTATGTTGCTCCTGCAAATTCAAAATTTCACGTATTTAAAAAGAATATTGTATCAATTTAAGAAGTACAACATAATAAATATTCATAATAAGAATAAACTTGTGTTGATGTTTCTAAAGAAACACAAACTATTACATAACGAATATTCTTTTATGCTCTCAAAGAAGAAGAATATTATATGATCTATCTTGTCAAACAATAAAGCTATTTGTACAAAGTTGGGTTACAAAGTGTGTTGACAAAATTCAGACCGTTGATTTCAAATGATTTAAAAATCCGTTTTTAAAATGATTGGTGTAGATCCAACTTTGTACATATAGCATAAAAGTTGATGAAATGTATGGTTAAAATTAATTGTTGATTTCCTTAGATTAAAACTTGAATTTTAATTAATCGGTACCAAACATGGGCTATATTTGTTATATTGTTGAAACATCTAAGGGCTTCTTTTGTAGATTTGACCTTCAATTTACTCGAGACCAGTTCAGGGTGGTCTTGGCAGCTCAATCCAAATGATGTAGGTGGAAGATGCATAAGCAGTTAATTTGAGAGCTGAGGGCATCCTCTTTGCTAGAAGTGCAGTCCGATTCTCTTCGCCTCCAGAAAGGTTTTACTTCAGCCCCAAATGCAACTATTTTATATGACATTGTAGCTTTGTTTAAGATATTGGCTGTGGTTCTTGTCATTTTATTCGTCCAATAAACTGGTCATAAGTTCAAACCCATTGCTACATTAGATATGAGTTTTATTCCTTGGACGGAGTCCGTACAGATTTTTATTTTTTGTAATGTTTTAGACGATTTGATGGAATAAAATTGCTTGCCTTGTGTTTCAAAAATGAAAAAGTTTCCAAGTTTCGAACATTATTGATCAACCTCCATCACGATTTTGTCTCGTAATTGGAATTAAAGAAAAAGGTCAAAAAAAGAAAAATCGAGCAATAGATTGAGCATGTTTCTATTTCCTAATGACACGAATACTAGTATTGTTATTAGATCTTATCTTTGAGAGTGAATTGTCTAAATAGTCACTGAACTTTACGCCATGCTTCCAAGGGGTCACTGAACTTTAAAAATCACTCAAGTCATCACTGAACTTTGTAAAAGATTTCCATGAGATTACTGAACTTTAAAAATCACCTCATTCATTACTAAACTTTGCAAAAGATTTCTACGGGTGCAAAATGTTTCATAGGAGATCACTGAATTAGTGACCTCTGGGAAACCTTTTACAAAATTCAGTGATAATGAGGTGATTTTTAAAGTTCAATGATATCGTGAAAATCTTTTGCAAAGTTCAATGATAATTTGGGTGATTTTGAAAGTTCAGTGACCTCTTGGAAGCATGGAGTAAAGTTCAGTGACTATTTGGGCAATTCACTCTATCTTTGATCATGTCTAATCTTTAATAATACAGTTAAAAAAAAATCAAAGATATCAGTTGAATAAGAAATAGAAAGAAAATAGTTAGTTTGATAATGATGATGCTCTAATTATCACATCATCTTTTCTAAAAATAATGGTTTGAAGTAGGATACATTTATTTGAAATTTCCTTATATAGACCATAGAAATTGACTGCCTATAACTAAAGTCTTTTGAGTCACCAATCAAACCCATGAATAGCTAGTTTTCATAACAAAATGCTGCTTATGTGATAAGAAAATGACCCAAAATCACCAAATATCCTTCGTGTGGGTGAGAGAGAAAGAGAGAGATGGTGCAAAAAAGTCTTCGAACAAAGACTTGA